TTGTTAATTTCCTGGAAAATATAAGAGTTCAAACAAAGTTAGTAAAAACAAAATGTAAACCTTGATGTTATCATGCATTTACTCTCAGTATTATTTTAATCGAATATGTTCAATTACTACAAAAAAAATCATCAAGTGGACCTTAATGGAATTAATCGTACTTTTTAATTGAATCAATCACAACATGATTAATTTATTGTTTAATATTGTTGCTGCAATATTGTGCTTGATAGGCTCAGATTGTTTTGAGGTATGATTGATTCCATTATAATTCACTGGGAGTTATTTCTTTTCGATGTAAGTACCGTTCGCGATTTAGAGTTAAATAAATTGTATCGTTCGCGAAAAACGAAGAGCTTGATAAATAATGATTTCTGAGAGACAGTTATTCCAATCCCTAATTTCACAAGGTAGTTTGTTCAAGATCTTGAGGCCATCACAAATTACCATTACACTTTTTCTCTCTATGTAACAGTAATAGCGGAGTTTTAGTGGCAGTACAGCTTCTTGTGAAGCAGTATGTCCAGTAAAGTACTGCCACTATACCTATTTCTGCAGTTAAGCAATAACGTTCCGGTTTTGATGGGTAGGTGCTGGTGAAATTCCAGGCACATGAGGCTACTCAAGTTGAGGCCCAGTGGTTGTGCCCCTCAGGTCTTTGCGATTTAAAGCTTTGAGTGTCACTGCAACTGTTATGGACAGGGTCCCTTGCCATCAGACCCACGACTCCTTTCCTACTAAAGGGGACGCGTGTGAATAGTAAATCAAAGAGAAACGAAAATTTTATACAGAACTAATTATGTATTTACTTAACCCTTTCATTAGTTCTCCAATTTGAAATTATGTGTTTTCACATTTGTTTTCAAGGAATTCCCTAATCGTTCTATCAATAGTATTGCCTGAGGGCGGGGCTCTGATAAGCATGATTGTGTCGCTATCGCAATTGAAGGCCACCTAATATAATCAATGATAAATGTTTATTATCTGCACGTTTTTGTCCTTCACGTCATACGTAACTCATCAGCTTACAACGCATGCACTACTGGACAAGCCTCCCCTTGGGCACGCCAACTCTCCCGATCCTGTGCAGCCCGCATCCAGACGTTGCCGGCTCTTCTCAGGTCGTCCGTACATCTTGCCGCAGGGTGTCCTACACTACGTGTTACTTGACGTTTTTCTCTTCGGTTAATGGTTTACGAAATAAATGCTAAAAAACTCCATTTTTGTTGACGTCGTTAGGATTTTCATAGCAAGTAAATAGTCATCTCAATCGGGTCGTGGGTTCAAATCCGGCTTACACCGCTGAGTTTTCGGAATTTATGTGCGAAATTGAATTTAAAATTTACAATGAGGAAGGAAAACTGAATGAAAACACCGTGAGGAAACCTGCACACTGGACACATTGCAGTTTAATACTGTGTGCCAAATTCTCAATGCGCATTGGGCGCACTTGGGTACTACAGTCCCAAACCTCACTTTGTTAGACGAGGCCTGTTCTCAGTGGGACTATATTATACGCTAACTGTTATTATTATTGGCGTACTGCCTTTGACAATGTAAACCGCTCTCTTCTCTCTGTTCTTTATGGCTTCCTTACTGCTGAGGATCGTGACTTCATCCTGCTAATCATCAGTCTCCAACATACTACAATACAAAAAAAAGTATTGCCGTTAAATCGAATGTGACAAAAACTAGAGAAATGACTTTTAATTCCTACAGCATCAAATAATCATGTGCCAGACAACCACACCAATTGCCAGATCTCAAATTAGTGAATTTCCTGTACTATAAATACCAGAGCAACGGAATTCATTCCGGGGCACTATTCAGAATATCCAGACCGTTGGGCTACTGAGGTCGTCAAAGAACTGTTCGAATATTTTTAATCAATTTATAATTAACATTGCAATAACAGAAACGATGAGATATGCTGCGCTCATTTGTGACTAACGTGTTCATAGGTTTTTGTGCAAATAATTTCAGTTTAAACTTTCAAAATGAAACTAAAACTAAATCGCGTATATTTGTTTTTCCAAATAAACAGAAGTTTTGGGCTCTTTACAGATCGGTTGAGTCAGCAGTGACCATGGAACCAAATCTGTAACATTCGTGAAATCCTAAAAACTCTATTTTATTGTATCGTGTTCTACTTATCTCTATTGTTATTTATCCAACCGTCTTGTACAAATATCTTCATATTTATTTACTTACTTACTCCGCTGGCTCATCGACCCATAGTGGATCGTGGCTTCTGCCCTATCTTGTGCGATCTCCTTCCAGTTTTCGGCGTGCAGGGCACGGAGGTCTTTCTCCATTTCGTCCCGTAGTGGATCTTGGCCTCCGCCCTTTCTCGTGCAATCTCCTCTTAGTTCTTGGCGTGCAGGGCGTGAAGGTCTTTCTCCAC